CTCTAGTTCCAAGGAATCCTATGCCTTTTTCTGGTCTCCTCAGGGAACCGAATATGTAGCATACACACACACACACACACACACACACACACACACACACAGAGAGAGAGAGACAGAGAGAGACAGAGAGAGACAGAGAGAGACAGAGAGATGCAGACAGAGAGACAGAGAGAGATACACTCATTCACAAAAATTAAAATTAATTGAAAAACTAAAAATGAGGTAGAAAGGCATCCATCAGGTTATTTGTTTATTTTTTGTTTTTCAAGACAGGGTTTCTCAGTGTAGCTCTAGCTGTCCTGGCACTCACTCTGTAGACCAGGCTGGCCTGCCTTAGCCTCCCAAGTGCTGGGATTAAAAAACTATTTTAACACTTGATTTCCACCTCTAGGTGTTCTCCCAATGTACAATGTGGGCTGGGTCCGAATCAACTAACCTTTTTTTTGGGGGGGGGGGTGTTTAACAATAATCATTACCAAAAGAAAGAAAGAAAACATTTACAGCTCCCCTCGATGACATTGACACCACAGGACCTTATTTCCTGCCCCAGTCCACACATTTGTGGTGGAGCTTGACCTATACTATATCCAGTTTCCAGTTTGTGAAGTAGTTCTCAAAACCACAGCCAGAAGCAAGGGCAGACAGTGTCTTGTTTTTTCTAGCTCTAAACAGAGTGAACTTAGAGTTACCTTGCTTAAAAGAGATATTCCTGAAAATCCTTGTGTGGGTGAAATTTGAGATAAGATGAATCACGACTTAAGGATTGTTTGAAGGCCTCAGAGACACAATGTCCTTGAACAGGGGAGGATTGTCTCCTATTTCAGGACTGTGTGATATGAATGATGGGAACTGAACTCAAGTCACCTGGAAGAGCAGCAAGTGTTCTTATCCACTGAACCATCTCTTCTGCTTGAAAATCTTATAATAGGCTCTGAGAAGTGCTTAATTAATGGAGTCTAGAATTGATAGATTCTTTGGGTGGAAATAGAAGGAAAAAAAAAAAACTCATCTCATATATTTGTTCCTATTGCCAGCATCAAGGACTGATCAATTCTAGGTTTTATCACACTTAAAAATTAGCCTGTGAGCCGGGTGTTGGTGTCGCATGCCTGCCTTTAATCCCAGCACTCGGGAGGCAGAGGCAGGGTTTCTCAAAAAAAAAAAAAAAAGTCTCTGCTGTGTGGTAGAACTTTTTTTCTTGCCATTTATTTATTGATTTTTTTGAGACAGGGTTTTCCTGTGTGGCTTTGGAGGCTGTCCTAGAACTAGCTCTTATAAACCAGGCTGGTCTCGAACTCAGAGATTCGTCTGCCTCTGCCTCCCGAGTGCTGGGATTACAGGCGTGTGCCTCCACCAGCTGGTATGTGGTAGAACTTTTAATTAAGACCCCCCCAACACACACACACCCCATATGCAGTAAAGCATCTTTATTTTATTTTAGTGCTGAGAACAGCACCTAAGGCCTTGCAATTACTAGGCAAGTATTCTTTCTACCACTGACCTAAATCCCCAAACTGCTCGAAGTTCTTTTAATTCTGGGACTTTTCGTTTCGTTTGCTTGGTTTGGGGATTCTTGTTATATTATTTTTGGGTTTTTATTTTACATTTTTTAAACCTTTTTTTGGTTTTGTTTTGGTTTTGCCTATGGACATGTATGTGCTCGTGCATGTATGCGTGGCCAGAGAACTACTTGCCACTGGGGTTAGAATTCAGGTCTTCAAGCTTGGCAGCAGGCACCTTTACCCACTGAGACACCTTGCGGATCCGTGTTTTACTTTTTTGTTTTGTTTTGTTTTTAAGATTTATTTATTTTTATCTATACAGTGTTCTCCCTTTGTTTTACTTTTTTTTTTTTTCTTAAGTTACCTGAGCACCTCCTTTCTTCTAGTGACTTCTCAAACCGAGTCACTCAAGACCCAGATCGGTATCTTCCTTTAAGACGATGTCATCTCTGTTTACAGCCTCCCAGCCCAGCCAAATAAGCAAGTATGTCAGGCAGGATGTAGGATGAAGGATGCCAAGCGAAAGAGGAACAGGGCGGCTCAGCAGGTGTCGGTTGAGTAAAAGGCGGTTCCTCTGTGGGCTTTCTCCTGATCTGATGAATTCTAGCAGGAAAGCTCGCTGTGTGTGCTAACCCCGGCGCTAGCCAGCACCTCACCTAGGGCTTCGGGATCCTTGCAGGTGGGAGGGATTGCCCTTGTTTCCCTTTCGCTTTCTCGGGTCACCAAACCCCACGCCAGGGGCCGGAACTACAAGGCCGGAGGGAGAAGGGAACCGGGAGAAAAAGCAAACACTGCCTGCTCGCCCGCTCGCCCGCCCGCCCTCCCGCCAGCAAGGTGAGAGAGGGGACGGGTGAGCCACAGGTGCCCCGGGAAGAGGCTGCGGGAATGGGGAACGGTGCTGTCTGGGAGCGTTCGTTCTGCCGGTTTCTCCATGCAGGGCTTGTATGTTGGCTTAAAGGGGGTTTTTGCCGGATCCCGGGCACTTTGAAGGGAGAAAAGAGGATGGGGACTTGGAAACAAGGTTTCAGCTCTCGTTACAGCGATCAGATGCCGGAAGTGGAACGGCTTTCTTTAGTTGAAAAGACACAGAAGAGTAAAAATGTGGTTTGATTGTATCTCTTCTTACCGGATCGTTTCTCCATAAGTGATCTCAGGGCCACCCAACAGAGGTCCTAGACCGTCCCTTTCCTCTTCAAAGCCTTTGGTTTCTACCAAAGTATAGACTAGGTATTTGTGTGCATTTTTACTTACCAAAATAGACACGAGCATTTGTGTGCGTTTTTATTTGTCTGTCACTATAGGCATGGGCTTTTCTATGGCATCTGAGAAAACCAAAGAATAAATCAAGGAGAAACGAGGTTTACTTATGACAGGAGCAGTTTACCGAACCTCGAATTCAATCATCAAAGTATTTTGGGTATTTTGGTTTCATGAGATATTTGGTAAGGAGACCTAACTTAGTGTGTGGGTGATGGTTTAAGTGCCTGAGTATCTGCGCTTTCGGGAATATGCTTGCTGCTTCAAATATCTGCTGAGTTGTCATGCGGACTAGGAATTCAACATATTACAAAGCAAGGGGAGCTCTGAGACTGACAGATGGGACTCCCAGGAGACAGGGTTCAGCCCATGGACTGTAGAGCCGCCCCAGTGCACAATGGTTTTCAGGAGAAATCGAGTTCCTTGAGATTGAAGACATTTAGGCACCGGTGAATATTAAAACAGAGATGCTGAACGTGGGAATGTAGTTGCAGGTGATTGACAAATTGACTGGTGGGTCTCAAATCTCACCAGATTCACTTGGGGAACACGTACTTATGTATCGGTTACTGTTGTAATTTTTATCTGTGTGTGTTCATGTGTGTGCACACTGTGTGGCAGCCAGAAGTCAGCCTCAGGTGGCACCCTCAGCACCATCTACTCTGGATTTAGAAACAGGGTCTATCATTTGCTTGGAGTTCACTGGGTGGCTAGGCTGATTGACCAGTGAGCCCCAGAGATCCTTTTGTATCCACCTCCCCAGAGATAGGGCCACAAGCACATGCCACCATGTCTGGCTTTTTTTTTTTTTTTAATGTAAATACACGTAAATTTTTTTTTGTTTTTTGTTTTTCGAGACAGTTTCTCTGTGGCTTTGGAGGCTGTCATAGAACTCACTCTTGTGGACCAGGCTGGTCTCAAACTCAGAGATCCGCCTGCCTCTGCCTCCCGAGTGCTGGGACTAAAGGCATGTGCCACCAATGCTCAGCAAAATAAATATTTTTTAAATGTTTTATTTTTATCTTATGTGTGTGGATGGTTTGTTTGCATGTGTATCTATGTTCTGCATGCATGCAGTGCCCATAGAGGCCAGAAGACAGTATTGGATCTCCTGAAACTGCAGTTTCAGATGGTTATGAGGCAGCGTGCAGGTGCTAGGAACCAAACCTGCGTTCTCTGAAAGAGCAGTCAATGCTCTTAACTACTGACTCTTCTCTCCAGCCCCATCAATGTGGATGGATAGATGTATGTATGTATGTATGTAGTGGGTCTGAGGTAGGCTCTAAGAATATATATTTTTAATTATCTCCTCCAGCTAATTCTGATAATCATTAAGTTTGGCAATACCAACAGTAGAAAGCGTTAAGCTATCCCCTTTTCCATGCTATGATTTCCCATAGAGTTCTCCCCAGGTCCTCCAGTTACTATGTAACCTTAGCTTTCTTGGAACTTGCTATGTAGACCAGGCTGGCCTTGAACTCAGAGAAGCCCTGCTTCCTGAGTGTGGGCCACCCCATCTGGCCCTGCCCTATCATTCTAACCAAAGTTTTAATTTTGAATATCCTCAAAATTCTAATTTCCTGTCTGAGAAAAATGGATTGCTGCCCAGAACCAAAAGGCCACATAGGTGCTGGCAAGATGGTGCCAAGGTTGAAAGCACCTGAGTTCAATCCAGCAGCCACTTCAAGCTCACAGCTACTTATCACTCCAGTTCCAGGGTACCCAATACCTCTGGCCACTTCAGGCACTGTAACTCATGTGTACTCACAGACCTGGGAGTCCTTAAACTGTCTTCCCAGTCAAACCTTGTCACTTGTCATGAGCTGAAGGGGCAGCCAGACTTCTAGTGGCTGGGGGCATATCTTCCCCCTGACTGAAGGCCAGGGAGTTACTCCTGTAGGCATTACCTCACTATCCTGCTCTTTGAGCACCTCATCTTCAAGACTGGGATCTAATTGGTAAAGTTGACTACACTATGTTCTCATCAAAGAATGGCCTTATCAGTGGGAGGGCTTTCCTGAAGCTGTGTCCACATATGCCTGGGGTGTGGGCTTACAGGGCAACTGCCTCCACCTGAGCAGTCATGACATCCTTCACCCGTGAGGAGGTTTGTCCCGTTAAAGTCTCCACTACCCCAGCTTGCCTTCCCTGGATCCCCGGTGCAGGAGCCTGGTAGGAGCTCAGTAGAGAAAAACTGAATGCTGTGTTTCCTCCCTGAGTCTGTTCTAGGAAGCCAGAGCCATGCAGTTCTCCAGCTCAGCCCAAGCAGCCGATGAGAACGTGGACTATTTGTTCAAGGTCATCCTCATCGGAGATTCCAACGTGGGGAAGACGTGCGTGGTACAGCATTTCAAATCTGGAGTCTACAGCGAGTCACAGCAAAACACCATTGGGGTGGACTTCACAGTACGCTCCCTCGAGATAGACGGCAAGAAAGTGAAGGTCAGAGGAGCACTGGGAATAGATCCATTGTTTTAGCCAGAGCCCCCATTTTAAGTAAGGTATAAGAAGCCATAAAAGGGGATACTGCTGCCAGGTGGTGGTCACCCACACCTTTAATCCCGGCAAGTGGATCTACGTAAATTCGAGGCCAGCCTGGTCTACAGAGCTAGTTCCAAGACAGCCAGAGCTGAGAAACCCTGTCTCAAAAAAACAAACAAACAAAAAGATAAAACAAAGTCAGCCAGCCCTAGCATGATAGCTGGCCACCAAGCCTGATGACCTGATTTCCTTCCCTGGGCCCTACTAGGAGAGACTCTGCCCTGTCCTGCATACCTGTAGAGGGCAAGAGGTCCTTGTGCACACAGATAAGCACTGAAGAATCCAGGGAAAGTTCAACTCAAAGGTTTATCTCTCTTCAGGGACATTGCTTCCTCCTAGGAAAAGATGCAGTTTACACACTGGTGATCCTTTGCTGTCTGTAGAGCCAGGCTTCACCTGCCCCCCTCTGCCCCCCAGAATTTATATTTTATTTATCCCAGACATTTCCCCCCTAAATCTTGAGCATTGCTTCTAAGTCTATTAAACCCATCCTTTATGAGTGATGTCACTCTGCTTTATACAGCAGCCTAAGTGACTTTTCCCCCTTTGGTTTTACAAGACAGGGTTTCTCTTTGTAGCCTTTGCTGTCCTAAAACTCCTAGAACCTTTGAGGCAGAGGGAGGCAGATTGCTGTGAGTTCGAGGCCAGCCTGGTCTACAGAGCAAGTGCCAGGACAGGCTCCAAAGCTACACAGAGAAAAACTGTCTCAAAAAGCAAAAAACAAAACACAAAACTATATATATATATATGTATATATATATATATGTGTGTGTGTGTTGATATATATCTATATCTATATAGATATAGGTATCTATATATAGATATAGATATATAGATATATAGATATAGATATAGATATATCCATGAATAAATAATTCTCCAATCAGTAGAAGCCCCTCAAGGTGATTCCTAAACCAGAAAGCACTGCCTGTGCTTTTGGCCCTGCCTGGTTCTACTGAATTGAATGCATTGAAGTAAGACCTGGGAATTTATTTGTCCTTTTTAAAAAATTGATTATTTATTTGCTGTGTGGGCATGCCTGCCACTGAGTGTATGTGAAAGCTGGAGGACATCCTGCCAGAGTTGGCTCTTTCCCTCCACCATGTGGGTCCCAGGGATTGAACTCAGGTCATCAGGCTTGGCAGCAGCACCTTTACCCACTAAGCTGTTTCCACAGCCCACAGGAAACTATTTGTAAGGTCACTTAAACGAACGGATATCCATGCTGCTGTACCTCCTGTTACCTCTTCTGCCCCGCAGATGCAGGTGTGGGACACCGCGGGCCAGGAGCGCTTCCGCACCATCACCCAAAGCTACTACCGAAGTGCCCACGCAGCCATCATCGCCTATGACCTCACACGTCGGTCCACATTCGAGTCTGTCCCTCACTGGATTCATGAGATAGAAAAATACGGAGCAGCTAACTTGGTCATCATGCTGATCGGTAGTTAGCTTTTCTTGACCCGCCTCTGCCCGTGCTCTGCTTGCTTTCCTTCCTAGTGGACTATGAAATCCTATTAGTCGTAGAGTGAAGCCATTTCAGCCAGCAGAATAACCAGAATAATGGTCCTCAGGAGGCAAAAGGCGGTTGAGTTCAACAGGACTAAGTAGGCGGTGTTGGTTCAAACTTCAGGAGTCTGAACCCAAGTAGTTTATTTTAGGAATATTTAAACATAGCACAATCTGGTGGAACTTTCCTGCTGATAAATAACTCAATTTCATGTGCACAATAAAGCATAAAGTAAGCTAAATAAAGGTTACGGGCCAGGCGTTGGTGGCGCAGGCCTTTAATCCAGCACTTGGGAGGCAGAGGCAGGCAGATCTCTGTGAATTCGAGGCCAGTCTGGTCTACAGAGGGAGTGCCAGGACAGCCAGAGCTGTTAAACAGAGAAATGCTATCTAGAAAACAAACAAACGAACAAAAGGCCCCCAACTCCCAAGGAGCCACTCAGAGGAATGTGACTGCCCAAGGAATGACTACTTGTGGGTATGTAAATTCCTAAGTGAAACTTTAAAAAAAAACAACATAAAAGTTCACTAGAAGTTGGTCATGTGAGTCCAGGTATCTGGGTGATGAGGCAGGTAAACCGAGGGTTCAGGAGGATCCTGGGGAGATGACCCAGTCAATGAAGGGCTTAAAAGCATGAGGTCAAGAGTTCAGGTCAGGTCCCCAGCTCCAGGTCAAAGGCAGGTGCTGTGGCACAGATCTGTGACCCCAGTGCTGGGAAGTAGAGACAGGAGGACCATCAAGTTTATCAGCCAGCCAGTCTGTCTGAACCAGTGAGGTCAGAGCTCACTGAGACCGTATCTCAAAAAAGAAAAGCACTTAGGAGGCAACTTCTTGTGGCAGGTGTTAAAATTTTTGAAGAAAAAGAAGAAAAGAGGTGGATGAGACATGAGACTAAGAGACATATTAGACATATTAACCAGTTTATTATAGGCCCAGCAGAGTAGGGAGACTGAGAAGAGAAACAGAGTTAATGGCTGACCGCCATGGCCACTCGCCATAGAGAGAGAGAGAAGAGAAGCAGAAGCAAACACAGAGAGGAGAAGAGTAGAGAGTAGAGGGAAGAAGAAGCAGAGAGAGAGCGAAGCAGGGAAGTTGGAGCTTTTAAAGGGAAGGCTGCACATGCGCACTGAGTCCTCACGCAGGCTGTAAATGCGTGGTGGGTGATGTGGTGATGGCACATCCCTGTGCCCTGACTGTTGTCAGGGGGCGGGGTCTGCCTCTTAAAGAGGTAGAGCCCATCAGCATTAAAGCCTGAACCTTTCAGTAGGTTACACTGATGTCTGCCTCATAAGGTTCTTAGGCATATGGAATTTCTTTTCTTAAGCTGTCAAAGGACTGGGGTCAAATATTTCAGGGACAAATATTTCAGAATTCAGAATTTGTTAGATTTCTGGTACATTTGGTGTTCTATAAGAGCACTGCAGGGCCTGGGCTACCACCTATTGACTGGGACTATGTAACCAGGTTCAGGCTAGCCTGGGCTACATGAGAACCTGTCTGAAAGAACACAGAGGGGCTGAGTAAGATGGCTAAAGGATAAAGGCACTTGCCACCAAGCTTTAAAACCTGAGTTTAATCCCCAAGAAAAATAACTCTTGAAAGTTGTCCTCTGACTTCCACATATGTGCTGTGGCATAGGAGTGAGTGCCCCACACTCCCAACACAATAAATCATGTAATTTTTTTTTTTTTTTGAGACAGGACTTCTCTGTGTAGTACTGGCTGTCCTGGAACTCACTCTATAGACCAGCCCGGCCTTGAACTCAAAGATTTTCTTGCCTCTGCCTCCCAAGTACTGAGATTAAAGGCACGCACCACTACTGCCTGGCTATAAATGTAATTTTTTTCAAGATTTGTTTATTATGTATACAACATTCTGCCTTCATGTATTCCTGCATGCCAGAAAAGGGCACCAGATCTCATTATAGATGGTTGTGAACCACCATGTCGTTGCTGGGAATTGAAGAACTCAGGACCTCTGGAAGAGCAGCCAGTGCTCTAAACCTCTGAGCCATCTCTCCAGCCCCCATAAATGTAATTTTAAAAAAATTTTAAAAGTACAAAGACAGACTGGGTGGTGGTGGCGCATGCCTTCAATCCCAGCACTCCGGAGGCAGAGGCAAAGGATCTTTGTGAGTTCAAGGTCAGCCTGGTCTATAGAGGGGGATCTGGGACATACTCTAAAACTACAGAGAAACCATTTCAAAAAAAACAAACAAAGTACAAAGATAGAGGGAAGAGAAGAGAAGGGGATAGAAAATTCATTTTCGATAAAGACAGTTTATGTTATTGAGCTCTTATATTTACACATCTTTCACCTGCAGGAAACAAATCGAACCTGTGGGAGAATCGGCGCGTACTGTTTGAGGATGCCTGCACACTGGCTGAGAAGTATGGCCTCCTGGCTGTCCTGGAGACATCCGCTAAGGAGTCCAGGAACATAGATGAAGTCTTCGTGCTCATGGCGAAGGAGTTAATTGCCCGAAATAGTCTGCACCTGTATGGAGAGAGTATCCAGCAAGGTCTCTCCCAGGATTCCAGTCCAATTCTTGTGGCCCAGGGTCCCAGGGAGAACACCCGCTGTACTTGCTGAACTTGTACGGAAGACTGGCACAAAAGCCAGGGTATCCAGATGCCAGTGTCTTCAGGTAGCATTGCAGGCAGAGCCTTATTCCTGGCCTGAATGGGCAGCACAGACTCTGAGGGAAGGGGACACCACTGTCCTCAAGGACTCCTAGTGAAATGAGGACCTCAGGCCCTGGTGGAAGAGGTTTAGGAAGGACTTTCCCCATCCTGATCTCTGTCTCCCCAAGACCCCAACTGTTTTGTAGTAGAGTTTGCTTTCACAGTAGTGAAAGGAGGGAACAGGAATATGCAGAGAGTATATTGGAACATTCTAGATTTGGAAATAGCCCAGGATGGGGTAGGGGAAGGTCTGTAACGAAAAGCCAGACTGCTTCCTGACAGTCACAGGTCTTCTTCCTGGGGAACAAAGGCTGTTGGCTAAAAGCCTGAAATTCCATCTTGCCAAATGGTCAGGAACCAGGAGGCAGATGGAACCAGCTCCATCCCTGTGGATCTGTGTGAGCATCCAGGTGGACGAGATGCTTACCATCAACTCCTAAATCACCAAATTACCTACATTGGAATTCAATTGTTGCTGGGCGGTGGTGGTGCATGCCTTTAATCACAGCACTCAGGAGGCAGAGGCAGGAGGATCTCTGTGAGTTTAAGGCCAGTCTGGTCTACAGAGTGACTTCCAGGACAGCCTCCAAAGCTACACAGAGAAACCCTGTCTCAAAAAACAAACAAACAAAAGTTGTTCTAATTGTTCTACAATGATTTGCAAACCAGTATTGTGTCGTGTCACCTCCCATAAGATGTGGCCAAAGAGCAGGAGAAGCCTTTTTGTGGTGGAATAGCCCCCACTTTCAGAACTACAGACAGAGGGTTTGGGTGTAGCTCAGTGGTACAGCACTTGGTGAGCATGTACAATGTCGCACTGCAAAAACAAACAGCAAATAAATAAATGAAAAAAAAACAGTAATAAATTGACAGTAACATAAAGGAGAGCCAGGCATGGTGGTGTAAGACCGCAGTCCCAGCTCCTAGAAAGTAGAGATGGGAGAGGCAGTTTTGGAACCCATCTTTGTGGGGCTTCAGTCAGATCCAGCTGACTTGCCTGGTTTGTACCTGAGAGGGGGAGTGTGGATTGATAAATGGCAGGTAAAGACACTAAGAAAAAGACAGAGACACAGACTAGAGTCGAGAGAGTAATCCAGTGAATACTGGACGACCCAAGTTTATTCTTGAACATTCGTAAGTACCCTAACCAAAAGGGGGACATGGTATAAGGAACAAACAGACTTTCTTTCCCTAATTCTCCAGACATTTGGTAACTACACCTTAGACTCAATTTCCCCTTATCCGGCCTTGATGGTCAAGAGTAACCTCACCTCAGATCAAGTCTGTTGTTATTAGATAAGACATCCCCTACCAAGACATCCTACAGCAACCTTACACCTTTAGGTCTTTTGACTTACCAAGGACAGTTTGAACTCTCTGACCTTGAGCCAAGATGAATTGGAGCCATCTTTATGCCCCCTCCCCCGCCCCTGACGAGGCAGAAGTTGAAGGTCATCCTGCCTACATTACTGAATGTGAGGCCAGCCTAGGTCTGCCTGAGACCCTGTCTTATTATATTATAGAGTAGGATTTGGTTTTGCAGGCCTGTAATCTCATTTACTCAAGTTCCTGAGGCAGGAGGATCAGAAATTCAAAACCAGCGCTGAAGAATTATCCTCTTGCCAAGGATCTGAGTCTGGTTCCTGGCACCCGTGTTGGGCAGCTCTCACAGCTCTCAACAGCCTGGAACTCTTGCCCCTCTGGACTTTTAGACTTCACAAGAGCCTACACTCCACATGTACATGGTCTCTCTCTCTCTCTCTCTCTCTCTCTCTCTCTCTCTCTCTCTGTCTCTGTCTCTCTCTGTTCCTCTCTCTTTTTCTGTCTCTCTCTTCTTACCCCTAAATCTATAAAAACTTCAAGACCTGCCTTGACTACAGAGCAAGTTGAAGGCCAGCATGGCCAATTTTTCAAGGCTCTAACTCAAAACAAAGGGCTGGGGATATGTAGTGATAGGGTGCTTGTCCTAACATGTTCCGGGTCCTGGGTTCAATCCCCAGTGCCAGAAAGCAAACCAAAAACCTACTGAAATGTAAAGGAGACAAGGAAGGGGTACTATTAGGGTCACACCCAGCATACAAGGGGTCCCTTAACTTCAGGAGTCTGAGCCACAGAAGGCAGCAGGTAGTCAGCTGTTCCTCTGTGACTGACAGGAGTTGGGTGAAACCCATGGGGAGTCAACAGGCCCTCATTTGCCAGCTCCAGTGCCACTAGCTGAAGCACACCTGTGGCCTCTCCACATACTCTCACCCAGCTACCTTGGCTTGGTCTCCTTTCACTGCTCTCTTTCTAGCACCTAGGCTGGGGAGGGGGGTGGTGAGGATGGGGTGGGGCAGGGGAGTGCTAGACACTCCAAAAGCACTCCCATCCTCCCTAAGGCCAGCCTTGATATTGATCACCTCTTGCTTCTCCTGAGGACAGTAGGTAGGAATGGGAACTTGACCTTAGCCAACAGGCCGAGACACAATAAAACTTAAATTGTGACCTTCATATATCCACACATGAATCCACCACGGTGGGATGAGAGAAGCAATAGAGAGGCCTGTCTCACCCAGCTCTTGCTAAGCAGGAGGCTCTTCACATTTCCTCACTCGAGCTTCCTCTGGGAAACTCAAGGTTGGTTTTTTTTGTTTTTGTTTTTGTTTTTTGTTTTTTTGAGATGGTTTCTCTGTGTAGCTTTGGAGCCTGTCCTGGCAGTCCCTCTGGAGACCAGGCTGGCCTTGAATTCCCAGAGATCCATCTGCCTCTGCCTCCGGAGTGCTGGGATTAAAGGCGTGTGCCGCCACCACGTGGCTCTATGGCACACATTTCTAATTCCAGCACTTACACATGGGTATCTCTCACAAGTTCAAGGCCAGTTGGGACTACATTGGGAAAGCCTACTTCAAAAGACAGGCACTGCTGGCCCTGTTTTTCTGCTTGTTTACCTAGTTTGAGACAGGGTCTCACTCTGTATCCATCCCTCTCTGTCCTAGAACTCAGAGACCCACCTCTGGCATGCTGGGTTTAAAAGCCTGTGACACCATCCTCAGCAGCACCCAATCCCAACACCGAAGGCAGAGGTAGGTGGATCTCTGTGAGTTCCAGGACAACTGGTCTACACAGTAAGTTTACTGTATAGCCAGGCAGCCAGCACTACATAGTGAGACCTCGTTTCAAAAAAGACAGACAAAAAATCAAAACCAAACCAAACCAACAAAATTGTTTGCACCTTGAAAGGAGGTGACAGGCCAGGCATTGGTGGTGCACGCCTTTAATCCCAGCACTCGGAAGGCAGAGGCAGGTGGATCTCTGTGAGTTCGAGACCAGCCTGGTCTACAAGAGCTAGTTCCAGGATAGGCTCCAAAGCTACACAGAGAAACCCTGTCTCAAAAAGAGGTGACAGAAATGCCTGTGGACGGACACTAATTCTTCCTTGCTCTACAATTCCCACCAACACTCTAAAATTCTCATCTTTTACGATCATACACCTTTGAGGGGGATTTGGATTCAAACAGTCCTCCCTACAGGTTCCATGTATGAGAAGAATCCATCTGAACACCGGGAACCTCTTATTAACCAATCCAGGCTACTGTTGAAATTCTCCAGCACACACTTGAGAGGGACTCAGGAGATGCATGGACTGGAGGTCTCTGTGGATGATACACACAAAAGTCTTGCCTGCTATAAAGAGTGAGGCAGGCTTCCCAAAGCTTGTTAGGCTCCTGACTGCCCTGTAAAACCATTCCTGGCGGACTTGGCCTCAGACTCAGCGATGGACAGGCTGGGTAGAATAGAATTATGGCCATTTTCACACATCCTCAATATTGTTTAGCCAGCAACCAGGGAGTTATATGAAATCAAGATCCCAGAGGGGTGTTTTGGAAAAGTAAAGATATAAAACTCTTCATTCAGTATTTGTCCAGGAGTATGAAATGCATGAGGAAATACTTGTTAATAATATTTCATAGCTCATAAATTGGCTCTGAGGAGGCTGTGGTGTGGCAAGTGGTCATCAACCATGGTGGCCAGCAGAAGCTGTGAGGGGGCGGGCATCAGCCATGGTGGCCAGCAGAAGCTGTGAGGGGGCGGGCATCAGCCATGGTGGCCAGCAGAAGCTGTGAGGGGGCGGGCATCAGCCATGGTGGCCAGCAGAAGCTGTGAGGGGGCGGGCATCAGCCATGGTGGCCAGCAGAAGCTGTGAGGGGGCGGGCATCAGCCATGGTGGCCAGCAGAAGCTGTGAGGGGGCGGGCATCAGCCATGGTGGCCAGCAGAAGCTGTGAGGGGGCGGGCATCAACCATGGTGGCCAGCACAAGCTCTGAGGGGGCGGGCATCAACCACGGTACCATGGTGGCCAGCACAAGCTCTGAGGGGGCGGGCATCAACCACGGTGGCCAGCAGAAGCTGTGATAAGTGTGCCTTGAGAAACCTTGGCTTTGACAATGGTGAGTAGCCAGTCAAAATACCATCAAATATGGCTCAATGGACTAGTGAAGCCATGTCGTGTGAACTGGTGAACAAAGATCTGTCTGCAAGGATAATAGTGAAGAAAATTCAGTTCCTCACCACTGAGAATGTTCATCTAGCCCTTCCTTCATCATGGAGCTGGACACTAAACAGTTTCAACAGCCAACACTTGAACTGATGAAATGGCTCACCCACCACCATGCCTGACGACCTAAGCTCAGTCCCCCGTGTTGTAATTTAAACACAGTGCGTGAGACAAAGATGCCATGAGACAGGGTTCAAGCACAGTGGTTTGGGGGAAAGGGAGTAGGCGAGACCAGCCTTTGGAGACAGGAACAGCAGGAGATAGAGAGAAAAGGAGGAAGAGGAAAGAGTGAGTGAGTGAGCTAACTCAGGTCCTCATGCTTGGTAGGCAAACACTTTACCAATTTAAGACACCTTCCCAGCCCCCATAACTATCTTAAATAGTGAGCCTTTCT